CCCCCCCCCCCCCCCCCACCCCCCCCCCCCCCCCCCCCCCCCCCCCCCCCCCCCCCCCCCCCCCCCCCCCCCCCCCCAAAGAGCATATAATGGCCCAAAAAGTAACTCCCATCCAATTGAGGTCCAAAACAAAACAAGAAATAAACAAATATTTCGAGATTTCTTCGAAAAATTGCCGAAATCTCAAGAAAAAACCGGAAAATGGAAGGGGAAATCAAGCATAAACCTTATTGCCGAATCGATTCAGTAGATCCTCGAAGTGATCCGCTAACGGATCATCTCCGCGTTGAGGGAGGAGTCGGCCGTGAGAATCGAAGCGATCGGGAAGGTCGATGGTCGCGTCAGAGTCGATTCCGGGGCTATGGGTCTTTTTCTCGTCTTCTAGGGGGGTATGATGGTGTTTGTGGCTGTGGTTATCGCTATAACTATGGCTATGACCATGGGTACGTTCGTCTGCGGGTCTACATCCATGTGCATGCCCTGAACCACGGTAATCGCTAGGTCTTGGTCGTGAAGAATGAGGTGCAGATGAGGAATGGCGACGTTGAGAACGGCGACGATGAGAATGGCTTCTCCCGCTGAGAGAATCGATAGTCGAGTCGCTATCGTCAGATTCGTAGCCCGGGTCTACGGGCCGGCCAGTCGAGGAATGCAGGTCGAACGCAACGGACTTAGGCTGGGGTGGCTGACTGCGTGCTCGCGATCTCCGTCTCTTGCTGGCGCGCGGGGTGCTCATTGGGGAACGTGGGTTTAGACCTGGATGATGCGGGTTAGCTGGCTTTTTTGATCTGCAAGAATCTGGTTGCGCGTTTTTGTCCCTGGACCCACCATCGTATGCGTGTGATCGGGCTTTAGGAGGGGAATAATTCCGTACGGCACTCACATTCTCATCTGCTCTTCGGGGTCGCGGGGCGTAGGGCTCGGGTGCCGGGGGAACATAACCGTATGCCTGCGCAGGCGGCACCGCTCCGGGGGGTGGTGGATAGTCAGCCGGGCTGTATGGTGCCGCAGTCTCAGCCTGGCGGGGAGCAGAGCCTGGAGGTGGCGGGAAGTAGTTGCTGTTGGGATAATATTGATTGTCGATTGGTGGAGGAGCTGCCGAAGGCGAAGGTGAGTAGGGCTCATGACGATAAGGGTCATCATATGAGTCTCTTTCATCGAATCCTAAATTGGGACTTAGTTAGTACCCATCAATCTTGGTAAGGGAAGAAATGTAGCTTACTCGGTCTCTCTCTGCTTCTCTCCCTGCTCCTCTCCTTGTCCTTACGATCCTTGCGGTGCGAAGAATACTTGTGAGCGGCATAGCCGACTCCGGTGGCCGCTAAGGCGGCTTCGGCGAGATCACGAGAGCGACTGCGGAGCCCGCCACGCTCCTTCTTTCTTCTCCCATGTGAGTCAGAATCAGAGCTGCTGAATCGTCCGCGGCTGCGACTGCGGCTGCGACTGCGACTACGGTCTCTTCCACGGTGTCTTGAGCCGAAGCCTGCTGCTCCGCTAGCTACCTGGTCAGATGCGTCGGAGTAGTATCCTTGCGAGCTCATGGGACGGCCATAATAGTGGGCCGCGGGAATGCTTCCGTGCACCGGGTCTTCGCCATACTCGATCAGGCCAGCTGAGTCCTTAGCAGGGTCGGGGTAGAAGTCGGAGGGCGCCCTGCTGCGGGATCTTGATCTAGAACGTCGGCGTTCTCGATGCCTCGATTCGCCTTTTCCTTCTTCTTCTTCTTCTTCTTCCTTCTTTTTTTCCCTTTGCGCCTCGTACAGCCCCGTGGCAGCTGCCGTTCCCAAGCCAGCTGCCACAACCGGAAGAGCTTTCCTCAATCTGCTATGAGACTGAGACCGCGCGTGGCGGCCAGAGCGCGAATGGCTGCGTGCCCTTTCCACCAGTCCAGCTACCGCTGCACCGGCCAATCCGGCGCCTGCCATATGTTTTCTCCGCTGCGACTCGCTACGATTCTCAGCGTCGGGCGCTCCCCTGGACCGCACGGAATCTGAACGGCGGTGTCGCGATCTGCTGCGTCTTCCGTCCTTCTCCTTTTCCTTATTGGAATACTGCTTGGCCAAGGCCACCGCGCCGGCAATAGCGGCCGCCCCAAGACCCAACTCTGTGAATGTTCGGGCGCGGGAGCGCGAGTGGGAACGGCTGCGACTGCGGCGGGAGTGGCTGTAACTATGATGATGATGGCGATGGTGGGAGCGAGAGCTGCGGTCGTCGTCGAACGAGTGAGCACGATGTCGGCTCTTGCTGCGGTAGTAGTCTCTGGCGCGAGAGGCCGCATTCACGGCAACGGCGCCCAGTGCACCGGCGCCAACATCACGACCGACACGACCCATGCCACCGGACACCTCCTCTCCTCCCTTCTTGCGACGGCTCCGGAACAACTCTGCGGCACCAACCCCGACCAGCGCACCCTCGGCCAAATGACGTCGATGGTGCGGGTGATCGTCGACTTCACGGGTCTCTTTTCGGAGGTAGACCATGCTGTCATCGCTGCTGTAGTCCTGATCATCTCGTCGACGGGTTGCTTGAGAGACCGAGTCGCTGGGACTTAGCTCCCGGCGGAAGCGACGGTCATCATCATGCTCACGAACACGGCGATGATAGTAGTAACCGGGATCGCGTTCCACTTCGGAACGGTGGACAATCTCATAATCGGACTCACGGGGCGGTGCATAGACGGGGGCTCGAGCTACATGATACTTAACGGCTCATCCTTTGGACGACGAGGTACTGGTGCTATACTTACGCTCATAGTAGTCTCTCTCCGAACGATAGTCATAACCACCACGTGAGTCGTAGTCGACGTCACGCTCGTAGCGTTGCACCATGACGGGGCTTTCTCGCTCAGCAGGCCGCCGAACCACTAATTCTCGGTCACCGGCAATGGGGTCTTCGCGACGATATATCGAGTCCCTCTCGCGTCGATCGTCCTCGGAGGGTATGACGTAACGCTTGATGGTAACGGGCGAGGAACGAGGTTCGTCCCAATCGCGGTCTCGTTCACGCTCTCTGTAGATGTATGACATGAGGATAAGGAATCAAAAGCGTGTGGGGAAAGTTGAGATGGATAGTTTTCAGATAAAGAGAAGAATCGAACAAAGAAAGGTGGAGGAGATCAAGCTGAAACTTGGGGGAAAGAAACCGGAGGGGGGAGAAGGTGGAAAGGGTAAGAGAAAAAGGGAAGTGGGGTGGGAAAGTGAGCAAGGCTGGAAGGCAACGAGCAATTGATCGACTAGTGGTGGGATGGGTGGGGAGGCGATGGAAGAAGGAAGATTCGAGTTGATCGAGTCAACAGGAATAGGAAGTCGATGGCAAAAAGATGGAAAAAGAAAGGAAAGGAAGGAAAAAGGAAAGAAAAAAGCGAAAGGAGGGGCAGAAGTACAGCTCTTGTCCGACCGGATGAAACGGGTGCTCGATCCGCGTGGCTGGACAACTCTTCTGGCGATGACTGAGGAAGGAGAATGGAGAAGAAAGGAAGAAGCAGATGCGGATGCGGAGACTTACGAGGTACCTGTTACCTCCGGCCAGAACGGCCACGTGAATCTCGTGACGAAGAGATCGATTCTGTTTTATTCTCCCACTCGGGCAACGACAGATCCTCGACAGCAATAAGAAATACTACCTACAGAGAGTACTCGAATTCAATATGCAAGTCATGCAAAGACCTCCAGCCTCTCTGCAGGGCAGATCCTTTACCTTTCCAATAGGAAGGAATCCCCTCGATGCAACGGGACCAGAGCTATTTATGCTACCTAATGATGACCTCATGGGGTCACGGATACAAAGGAAATGAGGCAGGGCAAAGAGCGCCCCGTTTTGCCCGTACTCCGTATGGCCTCGAACTTTGTTTCCCGTTGGGCACTGATGTTGATTCTCTACTTGATCTTCTGTCGCGAGTCTGGAACGAGTGGAGATCGTTTCCATGGAATCCGGCCTCTGTTCCGTCCGTCGACCATGGATGGAGCCGGATATCTCAACGACCAAGATACCTGGTAACAATGTATCTGTGTTAAAAGTTGGCATCTGAGAGCCGATCCAGAGCTTACTACTACTGACCCCCTTAGGTGCAGTGCAGTACATAAAGTACTTCATGAATGATTCACCCCACCATCCTTGAATCAATCGGTGGTAGACGTCACACCCAGCTTGTGCAAACTTTCCCTGGCTTTTTCTTTCATCCCCCCCCCCCTTCCCGCTCTACCCCAAAGGGGGGAGAGAGGAATGAACAGAAAAGAAAAGGAAAGGGAAAAAAACTCTCACGACAAGCAAATATGTAACACCCTCATATCAAACCAACGCTGTGTCATACCTGCCAGACCATGCCAATTCCCCACTATTGTTGGACAACTTTCGCCACGCAGCAGCAGCATGCAAGGCGCTTCTAAGCCACCCTCGGGGTGACTATCTTTTTCTAGAATCATTCGGACGACGCTTGGAAACATGTCTCAAGCCTTGGTTTGCCTTCCTAATAATCCCCGGTGGGCCGTCCTATGCCGTATCTGTGTCAAGTCTCTGCGTGCTTTGAATTTGATAGGATGAAGCTATGGAAGAACTGGATGGGGAGCGACTACCGCAGTGATGAAAATTAAAGAAGGAGGTCCGAGGGATTGATGGATGCAGGAAGAACGAGGCCTCGACTGGAAGGGCCAAGGAGGGGCAAACGGCGAAATGCTTGGCGAGCGGCACCTCGGGCATCTATAGGAACTTGCTGCCTGACCTTTCTGGCCGAAATTGTCTTGCCTCAGGCGGGAAAATACGATCCAGTCGATCTATGTTTATTCACGGTCTAATACAAGCACGAACATCAACATCCACATTGTCGTTTCTATCCTGGCAATACTTTCATCATCCCAGTCAGTAATCAATCACATCCCATTCTCATCCCTCCACCTCCCTCACCCGAGGCTTCGTGTCTCCGTCATGCCCTTCATCCTCCTCATCAACATAACCATCCACCCCTCGATCCTCCGGCGCAATCACCTTGTCGCCGAATGATGCCGCAATCTCCTCGAGTGTCTTGCGCTTCGTCTCCCTAAGAAATAAATATCCGATCAGTAAACATCATCTGATCACAGAATCCAATTTAATGGGTATATGTGGTGCAACGTACGGGAAATAAAAGTACGCCACGATCAAGAAAAAGAGCGAACAGGCCACAAATACATAATAGTAGTTCTCGTGGATGTTGGCGAAGGCGCTGGGGCCTGCTTCGGTGACTATATTTTGTATCTTTCAGTTGGCGATTTCTTTTACTCCTTGGGAATCGGAGAGACTTACTCGCGACGTTCACGATAAAGTGTGAAGCTGCTGCCAGGCCCATGACTTTGCTGCGCAGTGCGATGGGCAGGACTTCAGCACCGTAGAGCCAGGTAGTGCTGTTAAGCATGCCGTCTATATCACAGTTTCATAAGTGTTAGCTCAAGGTATTGGGGTCGACAGATAGGACATACAGTAAGCCACCACGAAAAGATATATTCCCAGAATCGCGAACCCTTTCCCGACTCGATTGTCCGTGTTTTGGAACACCCGCTGCATGACGGCGGCGTAAATCTCGACGACGATGATGCCGGCAAGACCGGAAATAAGCATCCTGATTTTGAGTTCCTGTTAGTCTAAAGGGGGGGGGGGGGGACAAGGGAATGCTGACTTTCGACGTCCCCATTGATCAGTTAGGTACTTTGTCGTGAGACTGTTGACGAGGAATGCCACGGTGCCGTAGACTGCTGCTAGAGCTAGAATGGTGTGGGAACCTATGCCCAGAGACTTGTACAGAATTGCTGTGGTTTGTTAGTCACTGAGTATGCCGGATGTTGATAGATAAACAAGAGACGACGCACTTTGGTAATACTAGATCATCCCATGTTAGTATTGTCCAGCAAGCTCTCTAACCCATAAAACCTACCTGAATCACATTCACACCAGTCAGACTGGTCATCGTCTGAACGGCAATCGACCTAGAAAATCTCACTATCAGCTTTCCTCCTTTTCAATCGGTCCCCCGAAACTAAGCCCGACAAACTCACACCAGCACCCGATGTCGAAACAACCTGAAAATCTCGCGATACGACGTAGTCTCCCTCTCTTTCTCATACTCAATCTGGGCCAGCATGACCTCAAATTCCCGATGCACCTCGTCCGACTGCAAGTCCCTACGGATCCGCTTAAACTCGCTGCGCGCCTGCTCGACCTTCCCGCTTCGGATCAGATGGCGCGGCGAATTAGGCATGAAACTGATCAGCCCGAAAAACATGACGACACCCCAGGGAATCCGTATGCCCAGGGGTAGTCTCCATTGCACGGGACCATAGGGGGCATAGCTGCAGGCGTACCCGACCCAGTTGGATGCCATAGTGCCGAAGGAGATACCACAGCCAGAGATTCCGCCGATTAGGCCGCGGATTTGCGGATCGGAGATCTCACTGAGATATATCGGTACGGTGGATACCAGTCCCCTGTTAAATTTGTTAACCGGGGCTCCTTGTTTCTCTCAACCTTGACTTGCTGGCCTCCATCTGCATGTATAGGTAAGGAACTCACCCCACAGCATAACCCGCCAGTACACGACCAGCGAGAAACATGCCGATGTTGACCGAGGCCGTTTGGATAACGGTTCCAATTGTAACGATAACACACATCAACTCCATGAACCGCAAGCGACCCAGTTTATCACCAATCGCCGTTTGTGTCAGCGCCCCGACAGCTTCGCCTGCAATGTAAACGGCGACCACATGCACAAAGTAAGCGGAAACCCCGCCAAACCAGCTCGAATGGACTTACAGCTCCGGTCAACCCCTCAGAAGGTTTATCCATGTAATCAATCCAACTTTGGTGCGCGATAGCTGCCAATAACCGATTAGACAGATGCGAATGAGACCTCTCCGTTCTGACTTTCAAGCGGCAAAGCAGATCGATTCACCCCATCGCATATATGTACTTACTCGTCGTCGCGATACCGGTATCGAATCCCTGTCTCCGTTAGAACGACTACATTCACCCCTCCAGGGAAAATCCAACGAATCCAACGAAAGACAGGTCTCTTACAAAAAGAAATGTGCCGATTGCGGCAAAAAACGCAACGCCGTAGGAATACCAAGCACCCATGATTGCGAATCGTAGACCGAGCAAGCGACTAGTAACTGATGTGCTAGTACCAACTCACGCAATGATCAGAAACGGGCCGGCATCGAGTATTTATAAGCTTGCCGTATATATTTGCACAGAAACGTGCACATCACACCGTCTAGAGCACACCGGGGACTTAATCTGCGGGACCAGTCCGACAAGACAAGCCGAGGGAGCGTGACAAGAGGCAATCAAGCCACTCGGAGAAGGGCCGACCTTCAACCCTAGCGCCCATGGGGGTAAAAGAGGGCGCGGGAATGAAGAGACGACGATCCTGGGGAAAGCGATGTCCGTAGCTGGCAATCCCGGGGGCATCTCCACCGAGGATGCATGAAGGGAGTGTCCGTCTGGTGGTTACCCCGCAGCAGTCGTGGTTCAGTCTCGTATCAACGCATCATCGAGTCAAGAATGAATCGATGGCCAGATTTTGACTCATAATGGGGCGATTCTCAAATATTGGGAACTGTCTACCACATTCAAGGCGTTATCTGACTGAGGATTAATGAGCCGTGATTCAATGACTGATCCGACATGAATAGCATCAATGCCTAGTAGCCATCGGCAAGATGGTACCGTACAACCTCACGTGAAGAGACAAGGCCATTAAATAGGTAGTCAAAGAGTTAAGCAGAAACACACCAGGCCAATTAGCCAGCCAATAGTTACCGCATGAAGCCTTAGCTCCAGGATGTACTGCTACCACCTGAAGGGCATAGTGTGGGCAGTCAAGGAACCCTTGCCATGGCCAGTCTAACATAAACCACCTTAACCAGTCCGATAAGAACATTTACCAGCTACAGGCAGATAAGGCAGTTATGACACACACAGAGCTTACTCATTCAATCCGGGAATTCAATTCGTGAAGAGACTCATAAACTAGGAGCCATATGCTTTCTTTGGTATTTTTTTTTCTTGAGTATGAAATCCTATTTCATTTATCCATTGCCAAAGTCGTATGCCCTCCGCCGGAGCAGCTGCCTGTGCAACAGGAAACCCAGAGCCGTACAAGAAAATCGCTAATTTAGAAAACAAGAGCAGCACCCTTGGTCTTCTTGTCGCCACTGTGGAGTCACGGTCGTTAGCATCGACAACCTTGAAGGATCGAGAGTGATCCTGGAACAAAACGTACCCGAGCTCGAAGTGCTTGCAACGCTTCAGAGAGAGCTGCTTCTTGGCCTTGCAGGCAGTGCACTCCAGACGCAAGACGATCTTCTTGGTGGTCTTGGCCTTCTTGTGGAAGACGGGCTTGGTCTGACCACCGTAACCGCTCTGCTTCCGGTCGTAACGACGCTTACCCTGGGCGGACAGCGAGGCCTATAGAATTTCACACCATGAGTATGTGTCGCGAAGCCAATTATCGGGATCGGGCGCATTCACCTTGCCAGCCTTGTACTGGGTAACCTTGTGCTGCTGGTGCTTGTGGCAGTCCTTGGACTTGCAGTACGTCCGGCGGGTTTTCGGAACGTTGACCTGGTTGCGAGAAATCACTTATCAGCGTCTGCTTTTGAAAGCGTTCGTCCATGTGCTTGCAGCGTTTTTTTTTTTTTTTTTTTCTCCTGGTCTTCCAGTCCCGTCCATCGGAAAAATGTCGAATTGTAAAGTTCAGTGTCGAGTTAATTCGTTTCAAGGGTGAAGTCGCTGAGGGAAGATCAGGTCCTCGATGGCGATGGCGTTCTGGGTGTTTGAAAGGAAAAAATCTTGATGTCCGATCGCACTTTCCTCTAGGGTTCGTTGGTATGTCGTATCAAGATGTCGCTCTTCAGAGAAGCGAACCCCAGGCGTCGTCGATTCTTCGCTTCCTCTTTTTTCAAATCAAAAGCGACTTCGTGGCTAATCGTTCGATTACATGGGTGGTTTTCGATATCCCTCTCACCATGCTTTGTCGTTCGCCCGAACAATCATTTCTCGGCCCCCCATCGCATCCCCGATTGTTCGACCGCATTTTTCTCCAAAGTCCGGAATTCCAGGAGAAAAAAAGCTGCAAGCATAAAAGACAACAAGGACCAATATCTTACCATTTTGACTGACTTGGCCGGATCGCGGAAGGTGCTGGTCGATGGATGTCTCTTGTCGGGGAAGAGCGAGTCGGCTGGCCGTGGGTTGTGGGATTTCGTTCGCTTAGACCCTATTTCGGTGGGCGCTAACCCGATCTGGTGCACCGCGCCAAGACTGCCTGTTAGTGCCCCAGGCATCACAGGGCTCGCTAGTCCTCGACTACGTCAACGGAGTGCAAGTCTAATCTGAGTGTTGTTATCAGGCATCTTCTCAAATCAAAACCCCTTCCCTTCAAACACCCTCTCTCCTCCCCCATACCACGACGTTCCCTTCTTAAACACCAGCCCTATTTCTTGTCCAACGACCCAGTCCCCCTTCGTCGGAGCATGTCCATCCTTCTCGCACGACCAATATGTTTCCCGCAGTCTCTCATTGATCTGCTCGATCCTCTCCACCAAGTCCGCTACACGTCCCCCATCAACACGTCGTTCCACCCCCGTCCCCGATCCTTCCCTTAGAAACCCCTCCTGGGTAATAAATCTCGAAATGGTGATATGCGCCGAGGGAACTACATATCTGAAGGCCGGAGAGACGCTTGTTGCCATCACACGGTTACAGAGGTCCCGTCGCAGGTGGTGATAGGTATACTCGTCATCCGCCGCCGTGACGAAACTCAAGGCCATCGCGGATGCATCGTAGCTGATAATCGGGTTGATCAACCGCGTCCGATTATGAAAAGCGTAGTCCGTCAGCTCCGAAAGCGCGCCGGTCCCTTGGATCCGAGCCACCAGGCTCTCGATCTCCTCCTTAGTTCGCTCGGGGGCTATCTCCAGCGTCGTCATGTGGAGATAGTCTGCTGGGGTGAACCACATCGCTAGTTAAGGATCAGTATCTAGCCCAGCCCCTCGTAGAATTCCTCACACCCAATCCCAACGCACTGCCTAGCTTTTCGCGTGAACCGCCCCGCTCAGAGAAAGACAAGGAAGAGGGGGTAGGAAGTAAACTAACTCGACGCAACATCACGGATATTCCCCTGGATCTCGGCCACCAAATCGCGAATATGCTGCGGCGGCAAGGCCGAGATATTCAGATTGTGTCGGGGATCAACGGCATCTTGTCCGCCAGAACCACTTTCTCCCGTTTCCTGCGCGTGCAACTTGCGAAGAATCTTGTCGGTTTGCCATCCATTGAAGTCTCGGCTCAGGAGGGCAGTCTTGAACCGTTCGTTTCTAGCCCGGCGATGGGTTTCGTATCGACTTTGGATTTCGGTCTGGAGTGGTTTGCGGTTTAATTGGGGGATCTGGTTTGTGAGACATTCGGGAGTGAAGTACCGGATCATTTTGGCATTCTAGAATGAGTTGGTCGAATGGGTTGGCATTTGGGGCTGTCATGTTGGAATTGTAATTTTAAATGCTATGTATGGGATGCTGTGGAATTTTCAGGGAAGAATCCAAAAGATGCAATGGCTAGATTGAATCCCCGATATGATTGAGAACATAATACGGGGGCTTCCGTGATATATAAATAGAAAACGCTTGGAGCCGCCCACAGGCAACATGGGGTTATCACAGGCAACGACAACGAGAGTGTATATAATTGTCTCAAACATCTCCCAGCCCTCATCCAAAAATCACATCTTTCTCAAAAATAGAAAATCACCGAATAGCACATGCTCTCAATCAAGACGTATAGGAGGATTATCCAAGCACAGCATAGTAACTAAGGTAAGTGAATGAATGAAGCGCCCCACCAAGTCCAACCCCGCTACGGCGAAGCTTTCCGTCACTGACCATTCCATCCGTTCCCAGCTTAACTGCCTTCCTTGCTCCCTCTACAACTCCCATACTACTCGACTACCTGTCCATTCAATATTCTCCCCGTCTCAGTGACTCGTGTTCAAGATGTTGATCAAGTAAATCTTACCGCTTTTCATACACCCCTTGCATACCCCGTTTGAGAAGCAACCGTGACTGACTGGTATCTTCCAATGACGCAGAGTTCGCACCCTCACCGGCAAGGAGATCGAGTTGGACATCGAGCCTGATTATAAGGTACCTACACACCAACCTACCTATTCATCATCCCTCCACCTGTCTCGTTGTCCGATGGAGGCTACACTACCTAAACCGTCGATGTGCTGGAAACTCCGGACATAACACAAGGCTGGACGAGACGATCGCTGCGATCCATTCAACTCGCGATGACTTGCACAAAAACCCACGTACTAAAAGGATCTCCAACTCTAGGTGTCCCGGATAAAGGAGCGTGTCGAAGAGAAAGAGGGGATTCCTCCGGTCCAGCAGCGCCTGATCTTCGGCGGAAAGCAGATGTACGTGACGTGACGTGATCCTCTTCGGCGAGCTCTTGCGGGGAACTTTCCTTCCAACCCGATGAGACTTGACCGGGCCTTATTCGAACTTTCTTTCTAACACCGATAACCAGGGCCGACGACAAGACCGCTTCAGAATATAACCTGGAAGGTGGCGCGACGCTACATCTCGTTCTTGCTCTTCGCGGTGGCTCCTCCCTGTAATTTACCTCCTACCAACCAACCAACCTACCAGCCTATCTACAACCCTTGACTCTTGCCCCGAATCCTCAACGGCCGTACCGATCGCAATGAACCGGAATGACGGGGTGCCGGATGTTAGGTAGTCAATGACCGGGAAATGAGATTTGGAAGTGGAGAACTTCACTTGTCTCGTCTCTTTGGAGGAATGGTAGCGGTGGATGTGATGCAGCTATAGAGCTCTCTCGTCTCGCGCAGTACTTATACCCGATGAGCTGTGTGCCTGTGTGCAAGGAGCTTGCCCTTACCCCTTGACTTTTCGGGCTGGTTTCCTAACTATTTGATTTCTTTTTTTTCTCTCTCTTTCTTACCCCTATTTTCTAAGCATGCCTTATGTCGCATAAGTCCTTCTTGAACCGATTCGCACTATTAGTTGTGCTATACTAATGCAGTAACGATGATTCATATGAAAGGAATTTAAAGTGTTTATATAAAGTGTAGGGGGATCAACAGGGAAAATCTATTTTAAGAGATGAATATTCTCAAGCTGCGGTGCCGGACCCCTTACAAATGCGTAATAAAGGAGTTGAGTCAAAATCCTCGCTCATAGTGCGCCCGATAGCTTGCTAATACAAGCGCCCATAATACAATGAGGATATAAGTATGACTATTCACAAGAAGCACCTATTGATAAATTTCCCCGACCATAGAACGTCAAGGTCAAATTCAATTCACATTGACAAGAAAGCTGATTACTCCGAACACAGACTCTATGTATGAGGACATCTATTCCCTAAATTTAATAGTAATAATAGTAATACTCAAGAAACAAAGAATATCAAGACGCTGCTGTTATAGCTTCCTTCGTTTAGGTTGAACAAAGACACTAGGAGGTGGTCTTTTCCGAACGGGCGCAGGGCGTGGAAGTTGTTCCGGAGAAGTCTTGGGCTGGCTAGGTGCAGTTCTAGCCGCATCACCTGGTTTGGTCGGAGAACGCGACGCAGGCCCAGAGTCATTCGAGGGTGGAGGTCTGGACGTACTTGGTAGGGCAGCGCGGGTCCTTGTAGAAGACGATTCTGTTTCCGCTTTAGGCGGAGTAAGTCCTGAGGTATGCGAAGTTGACCGGTGCTCCGAGGCTATTGCTCGTAATCTCGCCTCCTTTTCCTGCAAGGCTGGAGGAACAGCGAGACTGGCGGCAGGCGTACCATGAGGCCCTGATCGACCCGGCGCTCTCAAGGCTGGAGTCGCAGGGGCCTTTCGACGAGCAACAGGCGGAGCCGCTTCGGGCCTATGTTCCTCGATCAACGAGCGTGGCGCTTGCCGGACCTGTGATGCTCGATTATTGAGTTGTTTCGTAGGGACGGCGAGAACACTATTCCGCTTCGTTGCGGTAAAGATACTATTTTTCTTCTTGCCCTCTGGACGCGGGGGCCGCGCAAAGGGGCTGATAGACGTCCCTGAGAAGACCGGACCGATGCCGCCCATTTTCCGGTCATGCGAAGCGTACCGCTGCCTGGCCGTTGGTTTTTCGCGATGCCGTCGCTCCACCAATTTGGCACTGTGCTTGGCTCGCTCCGAGCTGATCCCGTCGAGGGCCATCTTTAGGTTTCGAGCATCCTCATCCACGGCTCTTTGTACCTGCTCTCGGAGGTCGCAGTATAGATCGTAGGAACACTCGGACAACGACTCAGGGAGTTCGTATTGATCCCATTTCGGTATATCACGTTTGATAAACTCGTACCAGAGTTCACCATCGTCATCAATAATATGGGGGGATTGCGATTCTATTAATCTCTATGTCAAAGGAAGGTGGTTAGCCAGCGACATTAAACAAGGGTGCGAAGAGGCGACCAACCAATCGTTCAGGACTTTCAATTTTTACAAGAAAAGGGCGAGCAAGATTATAAGGGATGTTGCCTATATCGCTAAGATCTGAAATGGATATTACAGTTAGTGATAGGTATTAAAGGAAGGAAGTGGGGGTATACTGACACTTCACGTTCCTGATAGCAGTCGCCGTGCAGAGCTGTCGTAGGGACGGCGCCGGCATTGTCGAGATTCAGAACACAAACCCAACAATAACGGTGACATGGATGATTCAAAGCGGCATATTGTGGCTATTGTCGCAAGTGAATTCAGAGATAGTAGCGGCATGTGATATGGCCTCCAGCGTTGACACGGGCTCATCAGGATTTAAATAGACACAATGTGGTCAATGGTGAATGGAGCAGAATGAATAGAGGGAGGCGGATGACGCCAATCACCTGATTTCCCTATTAGCCGGTGGATTTTCCCGCTGACGGTGCCTAATCGACGGATGAACTACGGAGTGCTCCGTACAACTACTATTTCTCATCTTGCTAAGAGAGGCCCATCTATTTCTAATCTCGAAAGCAAATAATCATCAATAGTTCGCCAATAACCGCCACGCCGGGAAGTAAAGTACTGAAATGACTGAAGAAAAACAGAACGATAATAGCCAAGAGCGCATCGGACACTACTGTCCATAGAAATTCAAGTCAATCAGTTCGCTTGATTTGAGCCAACTGAGTGTTCATGGGCGCGCCCCTTGACTACTTTACCGTTGCGAGGCCCGTCGACCTGGCTCCCGGGTGGCATTTGGGCTAACCATGACGGAGGGCTGATCCTAGTCTGATCATGGATGGTGCTGAGAAGAGGCGGAAGGCTCTGCATGATGTTCTGGATAGAGCCCAATCCGTCGCCAGAGTCGTCTGTCTTGCCTAAAATGAGGCATTAGTGAACGATGAATTGCAGGGGTCAAGGTAATGCCCGCATTAGAATACTAACCCCCTGTAGTCTACGTGGTGATTTTGGGTTGAAGGCCATTAATAGCAGCACCGTTTGCCTTGGCCAGCTTCTCATACGTGCCCGTTTCCAGCATGCGGTATTGCAAGAAGGCCTGAGGTCCCCCGAGGACACTGACAAGAGCGCCGTAAGCCTTGGGCATCTCCAAGATTCCTTCAGCCTCGCGTTTCTGCTGATAGAAGGCTGCGTCGGCATCCTGCTTTTGGCGATAAACTAGGGCAAGGGTCAGCCGGCTTGGTTATATTGGGGGAAATGAATCATACAGGCCGCGTCTGCTTCCACCCTCTGTCTGTACAAGCGCGCATCCGCTGCCTTCTGCTCCGTATAAAATGAAGCATCTGCTTTTTCCTGAGCGGATTCACGTTCGACTTTGCTTTTCGTCACTTGCTCAGCCCTTAGACGCTCTAACTCGGTTTCGGCTCGCGTGCTCTCGACCTTTTTCTTCAACTCTGCATCTCTTGTCTCTGTCTCGCGCTGGGCTACGATCTGAGCAAGTTTGACACTGGTGTCCAGCTCGGTCTGACGATTCTTGAGCTCCGAATCTGCCTTGGCCTTTTCGGCCTTTCGTTTTGTTTCCAGAACGGCGGTGTCTGCGTCGATTTTGGAGATCTCTTGCTTCGTTCTTCCTTTCTTCTCGGCCTCTCCTATCTCGCCTCTCATCCGTGCCTCGGCCACATCGATCTTGGCCTGGTTGAGGGCTCCTTCATGGGCTTTTCGGCTCAGAAACGCAAGGTACTTGCTTCCGGGCGTATCTTGGAGCTCCTTGACGTTGGCGTTGTAACTGGCACTCTATCAGCACAGATATATGATAGCTGCGTCGGGTAACCACTTACATCTTCAAACCGAATTGTTTCAGCTCCTTCTGGACATTATCGATGACTGCCTCGCGAGAGATCAGCAACATTCCAGAAAACACTCGTATCAGCACAGACCATTGTTATTGAAAATCAGTCTCTCCTTGAAGACTTCCTCCATCGTCATACTGGAGACACAAACGCGAGTCTCGCCTTCAATAATTCCCTTGACGATCTCCTATACGTGGTTATTTCTCTCCTGGACATTGGCATTCTCCCTCCTGTTCTCCTCCGTGTTCCCGGACAAAAGCAGCGCATATTTCCTCAGAGCATCGTGATCATTTTCGGGCCCGATTGTGAATACTGCGGGCAGGGTGAACTGGAGTTTCTCGACTGTCATCGCCTGAAGGTTGAGCGGCAAATCAAATGGCGCTAACGAGAATCTTGCGCATTATATGAGAAGAGAATAGTTAGCTAATTCCGTAAGTCCTATCCGACTAGGGGGCGAAGTGCAGACATACCCGCTGCCATGGCATCACAAAGGCCTTTTTGGCTATGCGAATATCATCGATCCCGGCTCCCGTGAGCACGAGATATTCGCTTGGTCGAGCGATCGCATACCTGAATAGAAGATCAGCCACGAACATCTCAGTACTTTCATCTCAATGACATACCGCATTTTGACTTCTAGTGATAAAGGGGTAAACTACTAGAACAGAGGATAGATGGTTTCCGTACAATTTGGTGGGACAAAAGAAATACGAGCCGTCTCGGAGCAGCAGTGCCTTTTTATGCTCCGCGAACTCATCGCAAAAGTCAAATCAGTCATGGGATGCTGTATGCGTCACAATGTCGGCATCCCTCGCCGGGCAAAAGCGCTTACCCAACTAAGACGTTACAAATGAAAAAGCACAGTCATGGTATCGGTACTCTCCCGTAGCCAAGTAAAAAGAAAAGATAGATAAAGTATACCATCCAGGGGAGCGAACGCTTTTGCAAACGACGGACGGGGCAATGCTCCTACGCCCGACGGAGAACCTTGGATCGAAGAGGCTGTGGCTGGGCGAAAAAGCCTCGTTCCTGTACTCCGTCGACAAACCGGGGGGGGGCTATGGCAAGGCTGAAGAAAGTGTAAAATGGAAAAGGCCGAATTACCCGATGAGCAGAATATGGCGTCGTTCCCGTCATCATTCTGGATATCGGAACGTGAAGATTATGGTTGACTCGGATTGGTTCTGGACTGCTCTGAACTTTGGAGATCTGGAGCTTTGTTCTGGAGTAGTTCTCAGGTTGCATGATATGCTTTTCTTTTTTCTCCGTGTTCTAGGTCTTACTGCCAAGCCAGCTGTACCCCCTAAGAGTCACCTGGTAGCTAAGAGAGACTGAATTACTTACTTTTAGGATGCCCCTGTGTAAATACTTTGCAACAGGTAGGTATTCATGTTGAAGATTAAAGTTTTAAACGAAAAAGGAAGTTCAAAAAGAGAGGATCAGGAGAGAGATAATCCAATCATGGCTTTGGACAATATCTCCCTATGTCTTTGCGAAGTGGGTATTCCGTGAATGAATCATTCCAACTGCTACTGAGTGCTGGAATATGAGACTATATTGGCTAGTCCATCAGATCTCATTTAGGTCGCTCAAAGGATTTATGATTCTCGTATCTGGGTCAGCTCCCTTGTACTGCACAAATCGGCGGATTAGTTGTCATGACCGATATATGTGTAACTCAAACGAAAAATGCATACTATAAGTGAGGCTAGTCAAAGGGGCTTAGTTCCGTCTTGTTTTATAGTATCGAAATTGCGAACCATGGATGCTTCCAAGCCTTTCATGTTGATGGCTTTTGTATAGTCTTTGTTTTGACCGCTGATTGGACAACTTTACAGACATCACGTGCAAATGACCCACTCGAGCAAACGGTGCAAAAACGCCCAATTTGGATGGTGAGCAGCCTCATGGCTAATCGATAGCGGAGGGGCCGCGGGGAGCTTCCCACTCTTTTGTTTCTGCTAGTTGTCAAGCATCTCAACCATTCTTTAACACGTGCACACTCATCTAAATTGCAGATCGAATAATCTAGCAGGTGAGCAAAATTTCTCTTCGGTGTGCATTGAAAGCTCCGACTCTACAAACCCCACCTCCGTCATCAGTCACACCTGGAGGGGCTGTAGTTGTCGCATAGCTTCCCGTTTCTCGTTCAATGAATTTACGCTGGTCATAAGAGGTGTCATACTCCAAAGATTTTCCTGTGATATGTATTTGAGCTCTGTTCTTTATTCGCGGACGGAAAATATCCCCTATATAAACATGACATCATCCTTCTCTCATCTCATCTCATCTCTCCTCTACCTTTTACCTCATTTCCCTATACTGATTATCTCCCCAACAGAAAGTCACCATGGCACCCCGTTCTCAGCTGGAGATCACCACGCAGTCCGTCCTGCGCCTGGTCAAGGAAGAGGCGTCCTACCACAACGAGCTAAAGGAGCAGACCAACCGAATCCAGCGCCTGGAGACTCATGAGAACACCGATGCCGATGACGAGAACCAGGAATACACGCTGCGACAAGAGGTATGTCGGGCTCTCTGATTGAACCGCCCGCTCCTTCATGGTGGGCTGGGGAGCATGGACATGGGCTAATTGGGCAACAGCGTCTCGCCCTCGAGGAGACCAAGAAGGTTCTGCCTACGCTGAAGCAGAAGATCGATGATTCGATAGCCAAGCTGGAGTCTCTGCTGGTAAGTCGCACAAGGAAAAGTCTGGGTGGGGATGTTTGCTGGGTGTGGGCTAACGCTTCATGCTTCATTAGACCGAGGAGGGCCAGAAGGGCGCGGAGAGCAATGTTGAGCTTATCAATGCGGGCAAGGAGGCTATTGCTAAGGCCAGAACTGCTGAGCGGGAGATTGCTTGAGAATGTGCAGAGAAGAGCTGATAGTTGAGTACAAAGAGTATTTCAATTCATAAAAATGTAATTTGTTGCTTTGAGACCATAATCAAATACATAATTCCGATTGTTTCCCCCCAGAAACCAAGAAACAAGTAATAAAAGACGCCCTCGCTCATGTAGTCAACGCTGCTTAGCCTAACTCCTTGCTCTATGGATTGGTTTTTAGTTAATGCACCCCCATAGTCCCTTCACGTCATGTCCATTCGGTCAGCGGTGCGGTCATCCGGGACTTCTTCCCCCTCTTCCAACTCATCTGCTCGATCGGCGTCTTCGTCGGCAGTGACTTCGCCTTCATCCACCATCGTGGCATCTTCTTTGTCGGAAGACTGTTTCTTCTCGTCATCCGCAGTCGTAACTTGCCGCAATGGTGACGCCGCGCCCGTTGTTGTGGAATATTTCTCAGCCTGTAGACCTGCAGCAGGTGAGCGTGCGGTGTCATCCTGGCCGTGTTGAGAGGGTGTGACGCTATCGCCGTCCGGTCGCGGGGTGTTAGCACCGCTGGACTTGCCCTTGGACGGAACGTCCGCGTCATCCCCATCCTCGTCCTCCTGCATGCCCTCCCTGCGCTCCACTTCCTCCTTCTCGTCGCGAATCAGTCGTCGCAGCTGCATGCCCTCATCGACAATGCGGCCAAACTGCTCCCTTCGCTCCGCCCACGTCGTAGCGTAGTCTTTACTTTCCTTCTCCAAGTCCGTGATCTCCGCCTGCAGCTTCTGCAGATTAGCCTGCTGGTCCTCCCGCGGTTTCAAGAGGCGGTTGCTCGTGATTCGCTCGGCCAGCTCGTCGTAGCTTTTGCGCAAAGCCAGCAGACGCTGTGCTTCTTCTAGCTGGACACGCAAGTCTGCCGTGTTCTCGCGCACGGATTGCATGGTGGAGAGGATGCGCAGTTTCTCGGCGGCGTAGCGCTCGCGTTCCTTCTCGTTGCTCGTGAGGAGGAACTGGATGCGGGCAATGCTGCCTTCGAAGGCCGCAAAATCCAACGTGACGTCCTCGCGGAAATGACGCCATTCGTCCAACCGTTTCTGCCTCTCTGCCTCGGTGGTTGCTGCCGCGCTGCTGGCATCGTCGTCGGTTCCTTCGGGGGGCGGGGTGGGAGGGAGCGTCGCATTGGAGACCACGAGTGATTCGGGATTTAGGAGACGCTTGGAGACGCGTTTAAAGGGTTTCTCTTCGACGTTGAGAAGACGCGACTTGTGGAGGGTATCTGGAAAAGGTTAGTGAGGTGAGACGAAGAGGGAGGGAAAATTCCAGCCTGACCTTCCTCTGGTTGATCGAGTAAGCCATAAGACGCCATCTTTGCGGTGAACCAGGCCGTCAGAATTGATTATTTTTATTATTATTGGTGTTATGTTGATTATTTCCCCAATTCACAATTATAAACTCCGAGGGTTGAAGGTGCTTTGCTTCGGTCGCCGAGGAGGGAAAGGGAGGCTTTCGAAAAAGGCCGATGCGAGCGGTCTGGGGAGCAATTTGGCGCTAGGCGGAACCAAGTCTTGGTGAACGTGATCTGCCTCCCCGTCTCTCCGCAGCCTTTCTCACTCCGAAATTCTTTTTTTAAATCTTTCATTTTAATTTTTTTATTTACTTCTTTCTGTGATAGGGGGTTGGATCGTCCCCAATTGCCTGTGGCCGCCTTATTCTTACACTACCGTCCTAATCACTACGCACAGTCCTTTAGGTGTTTACCTCTCGGAGCTCAATCGCTTTCCCTTTCTCTCTCTCCCTCTCCCCCGGCTTGTTTTCTTTTTGGTTACCAAGGCGTCCTTGCTGTCGGTCGTTGCACTAAACCAGCGATGCCAATTGCTCCTTTCCACCCTGTATGCTTGAGCGGCGTTCCGTTTGAACTCAGCTCTAGGGGTAGGGAGTCATCGTGTGCATGACAAGGCCACGTCGTTCTTCTACACCTACCCACGACGCAATTTGCCCAACCCCTACCAACTAGTTAGTTTAATTATGACTTACTGATGGCATCTACGCCCACGATCGACTCGCTCGCTTGTCCTGTTCCGTGGCGTCTTCCCCCCCTTCTGTCATGGCGGAAATGTACTCGGGCCTCCATGTGGGCCAGCGGTTCGGCTCCTTGGAGGAGTTCAAGGCTTTGGTACGAAGTATATCTGTCCGACAGCACTGGGAGCTCCGAGTGACGCGGAGCAATAAGAAGAGCGTGGTAATAGGGTGTCGATCGTCAGCCAATTGCTTCTTCCGCGTCGTGTGCCGGGCGAACAAGAACGCAACCTATATCAGCAGCCTCCAAGACAGTCATAGCTGTCGGCGCAATGCGACCTCCACCCCTAAAACACCAGTTCGCTCGGAGGTCTCGCACGTCCGATTTCTCCTAACTGAGATCCCCAAGCTGTTCGACATGAGAAACACCATCAAGGCCCAGGAGGTCGTCGACGCCGTCAAGCGCTACCATGGATACGAGATCTCCATGAGACAAGCCCAGCGGGCTCTCATCCGACTAGAACATCAGCAATCCCAGACCCAGGAGGAGAGGGCAAACACCCTTGACTCCAGCGGCGATGACCAGGCGGACATTCAAGCTGCGTCCGAAGAGCAGGCCGAGGGTTCGACGTACAGCGGCCTTTCCGGACAGAGATGGCTCCCGGAGAGTATCCAGAACAGCCTCATGGATCCGAGTAACCCGGATCTTCAAGCTTCGCAGCTTCCCGGCGAGACATTGCAACCGCATCTCCCCAATCTCCAACACCAACACCACCCGGTTCAGCACCCGTCGGGCATGCATTCGCAGGGGCAAACGTCGCCAGGCTTCGCCGTCCATCACCATCCGACAGCCACCTCTCATCAGTCTGCCTTTGGAGTGCCGACCTCCAATCACCCATCCACCCCGCAAACCGCACACCCCAAGCCTCAGCGACGATACTCCAGTGGCGGACATCCGGCTGCGGCGCAACTAGTCCTCACTAACTTCAAGATCGAGTTCACCTGCACCACGTGTGGCGCGCTAAACCAGAGCTTCTTCCCCAATCATGGCAACGTCACCGGCGGGAACTATCTGCCTCAGCATGCTGTGTCAAATCCGGCCGGCGCGGCAGACGTAGCCGGCCCTTCTACACAAACCGTCCCGGGTACTGCGGGACACGAACGTGTTGACGATACGCATGGGTTCGGCGGAGTGCGAGGGGTACAGTCATCCCCATGGGCCCCTGGGAGTCTGGAGGTTCCTATGCCGTCTGCACACAGCTAGTTCACGTAGATTTTTCCCATTAGACGGTTTCCGGCTGGCTGGCTAGATGTTGGGGGTTGATGTGAAAGAATTTTTTTTTTTTTTCCCTTTCTTTTCTTTTTATTCAGCCGCAGCTACATAACTATATGTTAGGATGACCTGAGTTCTAGAACCACATCTTATTTATTCTCCGAAGTGGCTTTGGTGCCGACGCCTCCTGGCGTAGGATTGTAGGCACTAGTGACCAATGGGGCTCACACCGGTCACAGCTGTTAGATAAGAGCTCGCCCGGTCTACCCCTTTGGATTTAATGGCTTATTAAGAGCTCTTGCCTTGCAAGACAGACTGCGGAGTACGGAGTATATTCTATGGGGATGACTGGAAGGATTCCTTCTTGTCGGACATCCGATGGCGATCGCCGACCACTGACGTTACGCCCTGTGGAGACTGTCACTGCCACACGTGACTGCGTGCTCAGAATTAATCCGACGCACAGTTGAGGACTGTTTGCTACTAATGACCGTTCGGAAATTATTCGCAGAGCTAAGCAAGCAACTGCCGAGTGCTCCATACACCGGTGTACGTACATGACTCTTGCTAATCTGTCGGATCCCCCGAACCAAAATCCGTCGGCACCTGCTCCGATATCTTTGTAAGATATCACTGGAAGAAAAACCTGCTGCTTTCCTCCCTGCAGGATGTGTCTGGCAACGTTCGGCTTTATAAGGCAAGGAGGCATGCGACAATTGTCTTATCTAGATGGCATTGCAATTTTCTTTTCTTCTCCACCTGACCTGAAGAAATTCGGTATTGTCGATTAGCACTACTATATTATATTGAGCCCTCGGTTCGCCTTGTACGGGTACTCGCCTGCAACTATCTAGAATCTTCCTATGTTCACACCACCAAGGCAAATATCCACCTGTTTCATAGGATGAACCGACAGCAAGCTGCCGAGAAGGCATTGCATGACCAGACAAACATCCTCCCCAAGGGTCAGCTGCTGGTTGTCTTCGGGGGTCTAGCCTGCTCCCTACTCATCACTTTCGTGGATCAAAATGGCATCAGCGTCACACTCCCCACGATCGCCAAGGATCTCAATGCCCAGAACACGATCTCCTGGGCGGGCACTTCCTCGCTCATCGCCAACACCATGTTCACGGTACTGTACGGCCGCCTGTCGGACATCTTCGGCCGCAAGATTGTGTACCTGTTCGCGTTGGCGCTGCTCTGCATCGCCGACCTGCTGTGCGGACTGTCTCAGAACGCGGCCATGTTTTACGTCTTTCGAGGCCTGGCCGGTGTGGCAGGCGGCGGCGTGACGTCGCTCACCATGATCATTGTGTCGGACGTGGTGTCGCTGCAAGAACGAGGCAAGTACCAAGGCATTCTGGGTGCATCGCTTGGACTCGGGAACGTCATCGGCCCGTTCATCGCGGCCGCGTTCATCATGAAGTCGACGTGGCGAGGGTTCTTCTGGCTGATCTCGCCGCTGTCGGCCTGCTCGATCGTCGTGGGCTACTTCCTTATCCCGAATAATACGCGCAAAGACGGCTTCCGGGAGAATCTTCGGCGGATTGACTTCTTCGGCATCATCGCATCATCGATCGGTATCATTTTCCTGCTGATTCCCATCTCCGGTGGCGGATCCTACTTTGAATGGAACTCGCCCTTGGTGATTAGCATGCTGGCGATTGGCGGCTGTTCTTTGATCGCGTTTATATTCATCGAATGGAAACTGGCGATACTGCCTATGCTTCCTGGTATGTTGATCCCTAGGGAGCCAAAGGTCTGGCTCTGTACGGTTGGCTGACGTCTATACAGTGATGCTTTTCAAGAATAAAGTCATCTGTGCTCTCTTCCTGCAAAGTTTCCTGCTTGGCGCAGCGTATCAATCCTACCTCTACTATTTGCCGCTTTATTACCAGAACGCCCGCGAATGGTCGCCTGTCATATCTGCCGCATTGACATGCCCTCTGGTCGTCTGCCAGTCCCTCGTATCTGTCCTGTCCGGTCAGTATATCTCCCGACGCAAGCGCTACGGCGAGGTCATCTGGTGTGGATTCGGATTCTGGACCCTGTAAGTAACCAGTCAATACACCGTTCCTTCCATCAAACACCACCAACTCTAACCACCGATCTAGCGGCGCTGGCCTCATTCTCATCTTTGATCGCACCACCAACCCAGGCGTCATTGCCGTCATCGTCGCCATTGTCGGCATTGGGGTCGGCAACGTCTTCCAACCAACCCTCGTGGCGTTCCAAGCGCACTGCACTAAATCGCAGCGCGCCGTCGTCATCTCCGACCGCAACTTTTTCCGCTGCCTCGGCGGCGCATGCGGACTTGCCGTCTCCGCGGCTCTGTTGCAGGCGACGCTCAAGTCGAACCTGCCGAGTGGGTTCGAGCATCTGGCTCATTCGACGTACTCGTTGCCGGCGCGCCCAGGCATCTCGGATGCCGACTGGTCGCAGATCTTGAATGCTTATGCGAAAGCGTCGCGGAGCGTGTTTATTCTGCAGGTGCCGCTTATCGGGGTGTGTTTTATCGCTTGTCTACTGATTCGGGATCGGGGGTTGGAGAGGCCGAAAGAGCCCGGGGAAGAAGAGGAGGAGATGAAGAAGGGCCAAGAGAGGAATGCGCAGGTGGCTGAGAACCATGTCGAGGGACAGGAACTGCGGCCGTCTGATCCGGAAACAGGTGTTGATTCAGGGTCTGTGCGTCCTGAGATGTCAGGGAGGTTGGATCCGGTAAAGCAAACTTCATGAGTACTCCCCGCGGAGGAAATGGCGTTCAACTGGGTCGGACCTCGGCTGACCGGACTTCATTTCAGCTTCTAGACGTAACTTTATAAAATCGCATAGAGAAAGCCTTAGCATTAGCATATAATCTCGACCACATTATACACCTCTTAATGGAGCAGTTAATACCACGCGTGACAAGAGATACCCTTATCGATAAGTCGGCCCGATGCGTCTTGGCGCATCCTCCAATTTCCCTCCATCTTCCATCTCCATCCATCTCTCTCGCAATACCTCGTAGATCTCTCTCATTCCATCAATCCATCGAAATGATGGACCCCAGCAACCTTTCATGCAATGGAAATCCCTGAATCAACGCCCCGAACAAGCGCTTCGCCCTCCCGAGACCATAATCCCCGGAAGCGCGGCCGAACCGCCTGCACGCGCTGCAAAACGAGAAAGCAGAAAGTATGAAGGCTCCATCCCAGCTCTGATGACTAAATGACCAATATTGAGACTTGCCAGTGTGATAATGACTACCCTGTCTGCTCGAACTGCCACAGGGCGGGCGCCGTGTGCGATAAAGCCTCGGTGAGACAGGACACTGCGCAGCAGAACGAGTGGGTTTCTCCTTTCTCTCTCTCTCTCTCTTCGCCGGGGTCTAGTTGTTCGATTTGCGCCGCTAAGTATGGGACAGGTACACGCATGCCCTGGAACAGCGGATCAAGGACCTCGAATCCCAGTTGAGTTCCAAGCCACTGGGTGCGAATGGCAATGCGCCCAATGTAGCGCCCGCGGAGACGCCACCGCTTTTCCCGGCCCGGAATCCAGAGAGCGCGCAGCCGGGCCTCAGTCCCGCCACGGGCATCGACCACAATGCCGTCGGCGAGCTGGTCGGGTTTCTGGCGCTGAACTCCTACGAGGCCCCAGCGTATGTGGGCTCGAGCTCGGGGCTGTCGCTGGCGGCTAATCTTGGCGAGATGGTGCAGGCGACGGTGTGGAATCAGGTCCTGACGCCGTCGCGGGGACAGCAGAACCCGTTAAATCTTTCAGGGGGCGTATCAGGAGGAGGAGGAGGAGGAGGAGGAGGAGGAGGAGGAGGAGGAGGAGGAGGAGGAGGAGGAGGCGCCTCGACAAACGGACCACGGGGCGTTGGGGGCCAGCCGCGGTCGCTGAGGATGGAAGATTTGATTGCGAAGAGCACGGAGCCGCCGAATGATGAGATGGGAGCTCGTATCCTGCAGGCCTATCTGACGCGATTGCATGTGCGATACACGTTTCTGGATCGGCGCGAGCTGTGGAGGCTGCACGAGGACCGGTTTCGGCTGGCCAAGACGAAACGCGAGGAGCTGTCGCAGGCGGAGAGGTTTGGGCTTTTCAAACTGTATCTGGTATATGCGATCGGGGCGACGACTTTGGATCTGAGCGAGAAGTACACTTATGTTCCACCGGAGGTATGTTTCTGATGGGAAGGGAAGAGAGCCATGCTGATTCATACTCGCAGCGATTTTACATGACTGCCCTGCAGCAAGTCCCCACGATGTGCGAAGCGCGATCCATCGAAAACATTGAAGCCATGACGCTTCTGGTGGTATATCATTTGCGATCCGCCTCCAGCCAGGGGGTCTGGTACATGGTTGGACTGGCGATGCGCACGGCAATCGATCTCGGACTGCACCGAAAAGCCAACGAGAGCAACCTCGACCCGATCACCGCGCAAATGAGACGTCGGCTTTTTTGGACAGTCTACTACCTCGAGCGAGTGGTGTCCATGTCCCTCGGTCGTCCGTTCAGCATCGCAGACCGACACATTGACCTGCCCCTGCCTCTAGACGCTGACGACGACGTGCGCGACCCAGCCCTTTTGTCTACCAGCAGCAGCAACACTTCGCCTGCACCACCCAATCGTAACACCACCCTCACCTTCTCCATCTACCTCATCCAACTGCGCCGTATCGACTCCAAAATTCAGCAAAAAATCTACCGCGCCGACCGGCCGCTCCACTCCCTCCGCTCCAAGATGAACTCCCTCTTCCTGGAGCTCGAGCAGTGGAAAGAATCCGCCCTCCTGCGATTCCACGGGCCCGACCTCGACTATCCCATGCTGCACTACAACCGCGCGCTCCGCCTCCTCATCCAGCCCTTCCTCCCTTCCCTCCCCCTCACGGACCCATACTACCATGTCTGCCTGCGCGCCGCCGGCAACATCTGCCAGACGCACAAGCGACTCCACCAGACGCTCGAATACGGACATTCCTTCCTCGCGGTGCAGACGGTCTTCATGGCCGGCATCACACTGCTGTACGCGCTGTGGACGCACGCCCACGACGTCTGGTCCGTACAAATGAGCAACGACATCCGCGCTTGCTCGACGGTACTTTTCGTAATGGGTGAGCGCGCCGTTTGGGTGAAGAAATACCGCGACGCGTTCGAGCTGCTGGTCAACGCCGCAATGGAGAAGTTGGAAGTCAACGATCCGAGCCGGAAGATCGGGATGGCGGAACTCATGACCGCCCAGCACTCGGGGGTCCTTTCCAATGCGAATCCATATCTCTCTTCATCCCCTACACCGGGACTATTCAAACACCCCTATCCGAACTTGAACTCAGCCTCGGCATCCTCTTCGGCTCCTAATCCTACAACCCTAGTCCCGCCCCCATCTTCTTCCAACATCAATCTCAACCCGAACTCCGGAATTGCCGCAGACATAAACCATCATCAACAACATAACTCTAACCCGAACTTCAACTCCACCAACCCCAACCCAAGCAATACAGCAAACCCCACAGACACGCAAAACCACGGCATGCGCATGGCCTTCCAGCTCGCTCCATGGATCGATCTCGAAGAGGACAGTCCCTTCTGGATGCCGGACTTTGAGACGCTGGAGAATTTATCCGGGAATTTGGATTTCTGGAGTGCGGGAGCCCCGGGACCTTTTGAGCCGTAGGCAGTTTGATCTGTAAGCATCTGATCTGGGGGTTTTAATGTAGAGAATAGAGTTTAGAGTTTAGAGTATATGGTGGGTTAGCGGGATATGTATGGTATATACAGTGGTGAAGTGGATGGGTGATAATTAATAGTTTTGGAACTAGTACATATGATCTCTCTCTCTCTCTCTCTAGATGTATGTTTTTAGCTAGACTATACACAATCCCCTTCAAAACTGAGATACTATCTTAAAAACACCCATCAAACAAACCAAAAGACCATATCACACTTGAAAGTAAACAGAAACCCAGACAATCCACCCTATCCTATCCCTCACAACCCCGGCACAACCGTCTTCAACCCCCTCGCCATCCTGGCAATCTGCCCTGAATAATACGCCTATATTCATCAGAACATATTAGCCAAACCAATCGCAAAACGACAAAGACCCACCCTCTTCAAAGAAAGAAAGAGGAAAGAAGAAGAGACTTACACTCTCAATCCCCGCCCCCACCCCCCGGACCAATTTCCCCAGGACCACACTCACCACCCTCCCAACCCAAGGCCCCTCATCCTTAACCTTCCCCAGCCTCAACCCCGCCTCATCCGCACCCTTCTCTTCATCCAGCATCAAATTTGGGAAATGAGGCGCCACGGCAGCCGGTCGTCCGATGCCGATCAGATCGCATGCGTTTTGGGAAAGTGCGGCTTCGGCGCCGGCGCGCGTGCGGAAGCCGCCGGTTAGAAGGAGGATGAGGGAGGGGTAGCGCTTGCGGGTTTCGTGGGAGAAAGCGAGGAAGAATGCTTCGCGGTTTTGGGTTCGGGTGCTTTGTTGTTGAGCTGGGGAGGGGGAGGGGCTGGATTCAGTGTTGTTGTTGTTGTTGGTGGAGAGGCCCATCATCTGGTTATTTTATTAGCAGGGGGGTAGAGATATAGGTTAGTATAGTGTGGTATATCTTGGGATAGGAGGGGGTGTTTTAGGTAGGTAGGTAAGTAGTTCAGATGGGACGTATGGATAGATGAGATATACTAACCCTCGGATCCTGATAACTCCCTCCCGAGATCTCCAAAAAATCAATCCCCGCGTCCACGAGCAGCCCGATCTGCGTCATGGTGTCTTCGAAAGCTGCCTCGTCGTCGTGATCATGGTCCGCCGAGTTCAACTTGATGCCGACGCAGAAGGAAGACGGCACGACGGCGCGGATCTGCGCGATGATGTCGAGCACGAACTTGGCGTGGTTGATGGCCGAGCCACCGTAGGCGTCTGTTCGGTGGTTGGTCTTGATAGATTTATTAGTTGTTGATCTGTAGGTAGAGGAAAGGGAAGAGGGTCCTAGATGGTGGAGGGAGGAGGGACAGACTTTGGGGTTAAGAAACTGATCTATAGAGCCTCTGTTAGCCAATCATCCTTCCATCTCTCTCTATCTCAAACCAAGAAAGAGAATCAACATACCAATCAAATACCCATGCGCCCCATGTAACTCGACGCCCCCAAATCCCGCGTCCGCCATCACCCTCGCGGCATCCACAAACCGCGCCGTAACGGCCTCAATATCCCCACGACTCATCTCCCTCGGCGCCGGAAACGTCACCCAGCTAATGAGCTGTTCCAGATACCCGTCCCCAATCCTCATGGGGATCGCACTCGGCGCGATCGTCGGCGCACAGAGGCCTCGCTGACCGGCGCCTCGGAAAGATTGTCGTCCAGGGTGGCAGAGTTGCACGATGCATGGGGCGCTGGTGTGTTCTTGCACAGCCTGCGCGAGGCGGGAATAGCGCTCGACGAGGTCGGCGCTGTTGTGCTTCGAGGTGTAGGGGTCGGCGGGGAGGGACGGATCGAAGGGCGTGCCGAGGTGGGAGATGTCGACTTGGACGTTTCCTGGCTCTATTTATCAGTTGAAGGACTTTGGTGAGTGTGTAGGAGAGAGTTCATGACGAACCGGTCAGAATACCTCCCCATCCACCCTGTCCCCATTGATGATACACCTCGAGAATATCCCGCGTCGGGAGGTTGGTGCTTCGGTCGGCGAGCATCTCAGCCATGGCGGCCTATACCGATAACCGTGCTTAGCCTGACTTTCAATGTAATTAAAGTATAGATGTAGGTGTACATACCTTGACCAATCGGTTCGGAAAGACTAGACCGCAGGGAAGTTTCACTGGTTCATTCAATGGTGATGGCATATTGGTATTCTCAATGATGTGTATTAGGTGCTCAGCTGTACAATAAAAATAAGTAGAAAGAATTCTGTTCTTCTGCAGACAGCAACCTGATATAGATGACTTCGGATGGGTGGCGGAGAGAGAAGCCTCGGCACCGAGTCTGGTGGAGACGATCCGCCGAACTAGTCAAGGTAAGGAGAAATTGACAAGACTTAAACCATCAAACTTAACTCAAAAGGACAAGCGTTGCGAGCTGTAGGAGAGTTTATTTTGTGGTCGGCGATTTGAGTCTCTCCGTCTACTCCACATATTGTAGAAGATCCAGATGCCTCAGGCAATCCGCCAAACATTCACTAAGGCAAGTTCCGAGGATCTTCATACGAAGCTGAGGATTCCATGAATGAAGCGGAAAACTCCATGATATCGGCCATGAAGATAAAAGGACCTATCTTGACCCCTAGTTAGTTGATGAAGCAGTTATTCCTTTATTCAATCAATTCAATCATTCTTGACCACTTCGGCCGCCTACCCCTGGCATCCAATATTCCTACAATATTGTATAGTAATCAATATTGTAGACTCAAGCATACTATAACGTAGGTGTAGTGAAAATCCGAGATTCATTGATTCATCTAAATTGCTAATTCCAATCCACCCATCTAAACCATCTAGGACCAAAACCCTGGTTCTGCATCGGACGGAAGGAAGCTTTTTGAGCCAATTAAAGAATATTTGCAGATTCCGAAAAGAGAACGGGGTATAACTGGGTAAAAAAACATCGGGTCTTTCTTCCAACAGGGCAAGAGAAACGCTTCAAGAAACAGAACGTAAGGCAGATTTGTGGCTGACCAAAGAAATGTGACCAAAATAAACAAAAGAACGCTACATGCTTATAGCTTAGCGTTCTTGTCCTCCTCGCTCGACAGTCCGTTTAGAGCGAAAGAAGCAGGTCCAATGCTGGACAGCAGAGCGCCGACCTCCCGCTCCAAGGCCAACACCTCGGTGTGGGGATCGTACATGCGAGCCTTGATCCAGGCGTCCAGGGCCTCGTCCGTCATGTTGCGGAGGGGCGTCTCGCGGTCCACCTTGTCCTCCTGGGCCGCGCGGATGACCTTGCGGGCCACCACCACGCTGACGGAGCGGATGCGGGTCAGGTCGGGGTAGAGAAGACCCCGGTCGATCTCCTCCGCCGTGAGGGCCTGAGACAGAGCCTCGCCAGAAGCGTAGATCATGCTGTCGGTGACCTTGACGGACTTGGAGAGAATGGTACCCATGCCGATACCGGGGAACACGTACATGTTGTTGCCCTGGCCGGGGTAGTAGGTGCGGGTCTCGCCGGCCGAGTTGGTGAACGACAAGGGCTGGAAGGGAGAACCGGAGGCGAAGAGGGCACGACCGTCCGTGTTAGTGACGGCGCTCTCGTAGTCACACTCCGACTTGGAGGAGGGGTTGGACAGAGGGAAGATGATGGGGCTAGTGTTCCACTCGGCCATCTTGCCTAGAATCTGAGGGGTGAAGACGCCGCCCTGGGTCGACAGACCCATCAGGATGGTGGGCTTTACGTGGTCAACGACCTCCTCGAGGCTCTTCCACTGCTGGCCCTGGTTGTCCGACCGAGCAAAGTACACCTTGTGATCGGCGAGCTTGTCGCCGCGGTCCAGGGTGACGAGACCCTTGGTGTCGACGAGGTAGAAGCAAGCACGGGCCTCATCCTCGGTCATGCCTTCGCGCACGAAGAAGTCCACAATCTGCTTGGCAACACCCACACCGGCACTTCCCGCGCCGAAGAAGACGGCACGCTGCTCCTTGCAGGGAAGACCAGAGCGCTTGACGGCGTTGATGACACCGCCGAGGATGACGGCACCAGTACCCTGGATGTCGTCGTTGAAGCAAGTGTAGATGTCACGGTAACGCTCCAGAGCGGGGAAGGGGTTCTTGAAATCCTCGAACTGGATGACAATACCGGGCCAGCGCTCGGTGAGAGCGGTCATCAACTCATCCATAAACTCCAGCTCCTGCTCCGGGGTGATCTTGTCACGACGGCTACCCATGTAGAGCGGGTCTTCCCGGAGGGTCTTGTTGCTGGTACCCAGATCCAGGGTCAGAGGCAGAGTGGCCTCGGGACGAATACCGGCACATGCAGTGTACAGGGCCAACTTGCCAATGGGGATTCCCATGCCTCCGACGCCAAGATCACCCAGGCCAAGAATTCGGGAGCCATCGGTGATGCATGTGATCTCCACATTGGGCTGCGGCCAGTTGGCAATGACGGCGGCCAGATTGCCGCGATCTTCCCAGCTCAGGTACATGCCTGTGATTCCCGAGATTAGCACGCCAAGTTTCGGAAGGGTGTGGGGAATGGGGAAAGCTATTTGACAAGGGTTCTAAAAACTTACCCTCTGGCTGCTGGTAGATCTCGGACCATCTCTGACAGGCTTCACCAACTACGGGGGTGTAGATGAGGGGGGTCAATTCCTATTTCGTCATTAGATTTTTCTCAAGGTTATCAAATGTTTCATGCTCCCATACCCTCAGGTGGTCCGTCACGAGACGGTAGAACAGGTGCACGTTGTTCTTGCGGAGGGTGCTCAGGTAGAGAAATTTGTCGATGGGCGACTGCTTCAGGGCCAACTGAGCCAGACCTGTCAGAAAATTAGTTCCGGACGGGATCTCTCAGTGGTGGCGGGTATACGAACAGCGCGTCTTCTGAACCTCGTAGGACTCCGCACGCGGGGGCGTCAAACCGTAGGTGCGGAGATACTTGCGAATGTAGGGAGGGTTGGCGGTGTCGAAATTCGACTCCCTATACAGAACCATTGAATCAGCAATACATTCATAGACATCCGTAGAATTGAGCAGACAAGAGGTTTTTCCATTGTCCTGGGAAAGAATTGGAAAACGTACACTGGAGCAGCGTGGCTCACGTTAGGGGTCGCGTGGACCGGCCGGCCTTGTTGCGCGGGATAACGAGCCATGGTGGCAAGCTGGGGGACGTCCAAACCGGATTTAGAACGAATTCCGAATGAAGAGGAAGAGGTAGACGAGGCGATAGAACGAGATGAAGCACAATAAGGAGAAGTGGAAGAGAGGGATGTAGAGAGAAGGGCAGAAGAAAAAGATATCGACGAGGCCACAGGTGGCAGTCTGATTTTATGTAGGCGCACTAACATCGAACCCCCCTGAGTACGAATCCACCACATTCCGACGGTCAGAACGCAGCACCCGTTGTGATCTCCAACGAGGTCGTCGCCAGGACTAAAGAGCAGGGCTGTGGATGGGATGGAGGAAGGCGATGGCTCAGCGATCGGGAAGAGTCGGGGACGCAGGAGCCAGTCAGAAGCATCGGGATTGGGGCAGTGGATATCGGGGGCGGCGGTTGCATGGCAGCGAACCGTTTCGACCGAGTCACGGTGGGAATAGGATACGAAGCTTTTTGGGAAATTGGGGGAGAGAAGTGGACGGTGGACAATGGGCGAAACGAATTTTGGGCGGCCGTGTGGAGAAAGGCGAGAAAAAACGGGAGACTCTCCGAGAGGCGAAGGCGAAAAGCGACCAAATGCGGAGAGAATGGAAATGAAAAAGAAAAAAGAATAATTTTTTTAAAAAAAAGGAAAGAAAAAAATAAAATAAAAATAACAAGAGAAATCGTCAGTAAATGCCAGCCACAGACAAGAAAGACGAGAAACGCAACAGGATTGCGGATCGGGCAGTGAGGCAATTTCGTTGACACCAGGACGATAACTACCGTGTAGCACGGAGTACGAGAGATATCGCAATTAATTCTGGACTTGATCTGTCCAGTGGGGGATTTTTGGATTTGGGATTATTTTCTTTCATGGATTGCTTTGGATTAACTGGAATTGGATTGAATCTCGTCCGTCTATTGGTGCTTGACAGTCTGGTGCCTATTTTGATGGTTTTTGTTGAGGATTGTCGAACACTTCCTGCCCCTTGTTCGGTGGTTCTTTTTATTTTTATTTTTATTTTATTTTATTTTTTGTTGGGCGTCCGAAGTAAGCGAGGTATTTTCTTTTTCCTTTTACAGTTTACAGTTAACTAGTTAGTGGTAGTACTTTCACTCAATGATAGGTTTATCATAGTCCAGAATCATATACTCCGGACTCCGTTCCTCGTCAGACTGTGAATTGTTCTCCTGTCCTACAATGTCCCTGAGACTAGAAGAGAGAGAAAAAAGACTTTCTGCGGGCAGCATCCGATATACCATCCCGATCTTCTTTTCTTTTTGTAATCCGTTCTTTCCTTCTGGCGGAGGGTGGAGCAGTACCAAACATCGCAAGCCACGGAGGTAAAAAAGGCAACTCTCACTACGGAGAAGGTAAGAGACTAAGCTGACTAGGGCACAGGAAGAGACCCTTCGGTGGAGCCGGTCTCATGTGGCAGCAATTAGGCTTAGGCAAGTTTAGCAGACGGCAGCACTTCGGGGGGACGAGACTAGACTGCTAGAGGAAGGGTTCCAGACGGTTTTCCAGCTGGGAGATTCTTCATCGCGTCCCCGCACAGTCAGCGCGGCCCGGAGGCTGGCCGAGTTCGGGTTCTTGACTCAGCGTCGGCTGCCTCGTTATTAATCCTATCTTTATTCCTCTTCCTGAGTACTCCGTAGAGTGTACGGAGTAGACACGCGACCATTTGGTGTTTGGCACATCTTTGCACATCGTCTCTTCTGGGTCCATGAGGCATTTACCCTGTCTGTAGTCTGTAGTCTGTAGTCTGAAGTTTGCCCTCCAGTCCAACGTCGTAGTCCTTGCATTCTCCCCTGACCGAGTCCAGGTACATACCTACCTGCATACTTCGAGCATGTCCTCCGTACAACTTCCCTAGGGGGGAATTTCCAAATCCTAGTTGCGACATTTTACCTAGTCCCTCACCGTGTTTCATTTCGTCGGAACCTCTCCAAAACCTCTCCAAATGGCAAAGCCCTGGTCCAATGACAGCCGAAACCACGATGCCTCCGCGCCGATCGGGCCCGGCCGATGGAGCCTTCGGATGGAGTCAACCTCCCCTAGCTGCTCCGTAGCTTCGCTCGACCAACGCCCAGACGATAATATTAATCAACTATCTGCCATTCCTATGTGACATTCGCGACGGCCGAGTCAGACTTAGGGCTGCGTTCGGCGTACCCTCCGTACTAGCCACTAATTTGTGAGCACGGAAGTACACATTGCACTGGTAGTTATAGTGATTAGTGATGGATCGAAGTTTGGAACGGTCCAGCCTTTGCGATCAGAAAGTACCGATTAGTCAGGATGGAAGGAAACAATAATAATGAAATGAAAAACAAATAATAGATTAAAAATAGATAAAAGAGATAAACCAACGAAAACCAGCCTCACGTTGAGTCATTTATGCACCTCGTCAAGGGGGATGGAATATACGGAGTAGTCCTCATACTTGGGCCTCATCCTTTCCCCTTACCGCCCCTGTCTTTCTTTGTGTCGATCGGGAATGAATGATGATGAGGCCCCAGAGTACTCAGATATACAGAGTATTTTCTAGACCTCTTCGCTAACAAGAATCAAGATCCCGATTCACTACTGCGTACACACGTCATGTCATGTCATGTCATCTACGCTGCAGAAGTCTAGCTAGTCGGATCTACACGTAGTGCTACGGACTACTCCGTACAATCCATCCCATCCCATGATTCTATACTCCATACTGCATAGTTCCCCCTCTATACGAGCTCCTTTACCCACCCCCGGGCATTCATCCTGTACGGAGCCCTCCAGTCTCCCAGTCTCCATTCCGTGGTCCATTCCGATCTCCTCCGTTCCCTGAACCTTCCCCCGGAGTTTCCCCCAATTCATGCACTGCATGGATCACAGGAAAGCTTGGTCGCGACCGGAATTGCTGATCTTTGCCCTGGGGAGCAGTCAGACGGAGCACATAGGAAGGGCGTACAAGTACCGAACCTAGGCAGCTATGATGATGATTGTGATTATGATTCATCCACCCTGGTCCACCGCGTAACTTTTCTCCTTTCACAGTAGGTGCACCCGCAGGAGAATACCCTATCCGGCGAATTCTTCACGCGGTCAACATGTCTGTGTACAGCACCCCTGCAGGACGAGGTAGATTCGGAACGAAGGAGGTCCAAGCCCTCGAAAATCCAGTCGATCAATCTGCAATCGGTCCCTGACACCGAATTTCCTCCGACCTGTGCTGGATACAACTGCGTATTCAGAGTCATAACTCAGCCAGACCTCCCCAGCAGAAAATGCGTTGGGACTGGGAACGAAAAGCGCGTCACACAAGAGTCTAAGGTCTAAGGTCTAAAGTCTCAACCAAATCCGTCTAGCTGCCACTGTCAGACTTGAGTTCTGACTGATCCGAAGGAATGAAAAGCCACTTGATCGTAGGAGGTAAGTAGCTCTCCCCGGATTTTGACCCTCCTTCCCACACTCAGGGGTGAGCCGTTACCTTCAAACCTCAAGGGGGATAGTTCCCACCGAGCGAACATAAATGGGATAGTTATGGGGACCTTGAGCCACCCCCGGATTTTATTTTTTTGCAATGGAATTATTGGACCGCGCAGGGCTGGCAGGGCAGGGATGGGTCTCGTCTGTGTCGAACTGCTGGACTGTTCGGAGTACTGTACGCCGCATCGCAGACGGGGAAGGTCTCCACATCCATGTGACGTGCAGGAAAGTTGGTTCATGCTATGGAGTCCAGAACGTCTCTATCTTATCTAGCTATAACTATGTCTGTATGATTTTCTTGTTTTTCGGTTCTATTATTGCTGATACCCCGTACCCCGTAGATATTTCTCAGTTTTGCAGAATTGCGGTCCTCAACGGCTGCTTCTTGTCTACCTTCTCACGGCGTGTTCTCATCGCGGCTAGCTTGCTCTTGATTTTGGATGACCAAGTCAATAGACCCAAATAGAGCAGGACAGAATTCACTGAACTGATCTCGATACTCCAAGACGTTCAGACTCGAAAGCCAGGAAAGAATTGAAACTGATATGCGCTAGTCCATTCCGGGTAATCTGCTGTCTCGAGGATGCCTGACCTCTCAGGCGTCGAGTCGACCTACTGACGTCACACGTCGATCATGGTGGATGGTCCAGAGCAGGGAAGAATAAGGTAGACTCAATCAATGGTTTCCGGTGGTCAATTGGCTGTCGCAGCGACACCGTGGTACCTCCAATGTATGTACTGTTGATCTGGTGATCTGTAGTCATGAGATTGGGATTGGTCTATTGACTCAATTGAGTCCATTGATTCTGAAGCCTGTAGATAGATAGATACCATCGCCCGAAGCTGAGAGACCGGGTGATGTTGAATGCCATCTATTCTGATCAGAAAATGCCTACTATCGTACAGATCACCTGATGTAAAAGCGGCGGGGGTGACGCAAGAGTGAAGGACGATGCCAACGAAGAGGCTCGATGCAGTTAGCCGCCCTGCCATGACATGCCATTCCACCGGCCTCCGCTTTCCCTGTCCCTCCCATCCTCCATGACCGTCGTTCTCTCCTTTCCCTCCGGACAACCCATCCATTATCGGGCACCGCACCCTCCAGAAACCAGCCCAGCTAGATAGCCTCGTCACCGGTCGGGCCATCACCCACCATGCCGCACGGGGAGACCGAGCCGCTTCTCCCTCGCTACGAGGAGGACACGAGCCTCCAGCGCCGCCTGCATCAGAAACTACACACCTATCAGATGCTCCGCGCCCTCTCGGAGGGATACATGCCGTCGACCGATCAAGTCATTGCCAACCTGCGCACCCTATTGGCCTCCGACATTCTCAACCCGCGGTCTCAGGAGATCGGCTCCGTCGGCCGCCAATTGATTCGGGATTGCCGTCTCTGGATTCAGGTCTTCATCGAGCTCCTGCGGGACAAGAATGGCTCCGACCAGCTGCAGGAGTTCCTGTGGCATCTGGCCCGATCGCGCGCCGCCTTGGACCCGAGTCATATCTCGCAGCACGCGGCGCAGGTGAAGGCGAGGGCG